ATGCTCAATGGAGAGGAGCGGCTGAAACACAACATGAAAATTGTCGTCTTCACGATGAAGCTCGTATGCCTGTTTCTAGTGTGCTCCTTTCCGTTCAAATTTGCGCTATTGCTGTATGGTTTCCGTTTCCATGGCAACACCGACTTCACGCGCCACCTTGGATTTCTGAGGACGTTGTATCACGTTCTGGATGGGTGGACGTTTTGTACTAACGAGGAATTGAAGGTAGCAATGTGGACAATGTTCTTTGGTAAGCGGCCAAACCGAGTTAGTGCGGAGATAGGACTGATATGTCTGCCAGGTGAAAAGAGGAGCGAAGAGTGAGGCGAGAGGTGTCATCATATGACATGTATTTACGACCCAAGTCTGTGGATAAATTTCATTCAATGTTCTGAATCATGTTTCGACAGGTGTTGCCATACCTAGTTCGTTATATAAGTCTGTCTGATAGCTTTGAGTGCACACTGCACAACATAGGTGTAGCAACGTATCTCTTTGGTGAATGATACCTTTCACCAAAGTTTTAGATTGGTGAAGGATCCTTCACCAATGTTGAGCAATGCATGTGAGGGTCTTCACCAATGCTTAGAACGACTGGGTTCGACTGAGTTTGTCCAAAGCGTGCTGCCTGTGTCCAATCAAATTCCGAATTGGGTATTGTAGGACAAAATCGGAATTCCGAAGGTCCAAGTTCCGATTAGCACCACTAGTGTGCTAGTGGAAGCGTTTCAGTCAGTTTTGTGTTTGCTTTGCACACACGAGTGACGAGACTCATAATGTTACCGGCTGATTTTCGTATTTCTTTCACTATAACATTGCTTGTAGTCCGTACATTTTTAAGTTGCAATGATATATTGACGCGAATCGAGCATTAGCAGCGGTAAGCAGCGCAACGCAAAGACGTAACCGTCCGGCGCCGGCAGTGAAAATCGGCCGGCACCGCCCGCGTCGCCACTCCGGAGGGATTAACTTTACACCCCTGTTACTAAAAAAGAGGTTGCACACCGATTTACTCATTGCTTTCATGGCAAGATGCAGAATTCAATTTTAGGCATGTATTGTACTGAAAATTTGACGTTAACCCGCGACCTGGTGGGGGGGGGGGCTATTTTTTGCCCCCCCCCCTCCAGACTTTTCTATATATCTCCAGAACCGCTGCGCCGATCGTCACCAAACTTTCAGTACCCTCCCGGACATCAATTTTACACATTGTGACCAAATATTTTTCCAAAGGCTATGATAGGTTGGCCGGAAATGACGTCAGAGTGACGTCATATTCTGCCGTTTTCGACCCAAAAAAGGGTTTCGCGGGAAGAGCTATCAGGCCTATAGCTTTGCAAATACAGAAAAATGATAAAGACATAAAAGCTGTAGAATCGACAGGGCTACAAAACTGCTATCTTGGATTTTTGAAATGTTTGGATTTTGACCCCCAAAAATCAAAAAATATATTTTTTGGATAAAATAATCGAAAAATCCAAAAAGTGTTTTGAATTTCGCAAAAACCGGAATATATGTGATAGTCCTTACCATCTTCCATCCACATACCAAATTTGAGATTGATAACTCCTTTTTTGGCGAAGTTATAGCGAAAAAACTGTTCAAAATTGATGACGTCAAAGTTTCAAACTCAATTTTTTAGCAATTCTAGACCCCGTAGCGCAAAACAAAGACCACCATTAGACTCCCCGTGACGAGCTGCATCGAATAAATACCCATTTTATGCAAAACTATCAACTTTAAAATTTGACCTTTTTTGGCCTGACCTTGACCTGACCTTGACCTGAACTTCACCAGAAAGTGACCTAAGCCGTACCTGATAGTCTTATAACCAACACCATTGAGTTGAAAATGAAAAATTGGCCATAAAACATGCATCACACAACCTTAGTTAAGTTGGGCTCATGTGACCTGACCTGTGACCCTTGGTGACCTGACCTGGTATTGTCAGTGACCTCTAATAACAACATATCTACTAGGCAACTGACGCCCTATCGCTGATTCTCACCAAAATGCGTTTTCCTCGGTGTTATAGCGCATTCCCTAGAAGACCCGTGAACGGTGAAACATTTCATCTTTGACCTGACCTGTGACGTCATCGGTGACCCAGAGGTCAATGAAATTTGGTTTCCTTCGACAAATTTGACAGGCCTTTCGAACGCCGTTTGAATTTTGTGAATTTTGCGGATCCGTCCAGTAGTTTCGGAGATACGAGGGGGGGGGCAAAAAATAGCCCCCCCCCACCAGGTCGCGTTATAAACAGACCCCACCAGGGCGTGGGTTAATTAGATGATAATGGCGTGAGATATTTGCGAGAAAAAAAAAAACAGGAGGGGTTGGCAAAATTCGCCCCCCCCCCCCTCCACTTCGGCAAGGTCCTGTACTTTCTCAGAAGGGTCAGGTGACATCCTTCACTAATATTTTTGGCGCTCCTACACCCATGCTGCACAAGTAAATATGACAAGGGACGAGCAATAGGTATGAATAGAAAGTCAAAAAGTAACATCGAGATTAAGATGATATTAGCCGTTTTCACGACGGGCTATCCGGCGAGTGCACCTGATTTGACCAAATCTGCACCTAATCTCTTTTACAACAAATAACTTCATCTATTTCAGTGTTTTAATCGATGATACTCTATGATAATATGACAAAGCAGGCATATAAACAAATTGTGCAACCTTAGCTGACAGCTACTAAGAGACACACTGAACCTGATTTGACCAAATCTGCATCTGATCTGCACCAGATGCGCACCAAATGTGTACCAGATGGCCGTCGTGAAAACGGCTATTTTCAGCTGGCCAGTGCTTAAGTCATTGAGGCTCACATGCGCCTTTTGTTTAACCCGCGCCCCGTAGGGGGGGGGGGGCCGAAACGGCCCCTCCCTGTCCTTTTCGGTCGATATCTCCTAAACGGCTGGAGATATCGCCACCAAACTTTCAGGACCCTTCCGGGCATCAATTTTACACATTGTGACCAAAAATTTTTCCAGAGGCTATGATAGGTTGGCCACAAATGACGTCAGAGTGACGTCATGTTCTGTCATTTTCGACCGAAAAAAGACCTTCGCGAGAAGACCTGTCAGGACTACAGCTTTGAAGATACAGAAAAATGATCAAGACATAAAAGGTGTAGAATTGACAGGGCTACAAAACTGCTATCTCGAATTTTTGAAATTTTTGAGTTTTGACCCCCAAAAATCAAAAAAGCATTTTTTTGGATATATTCGCCAAAAAATCCAGAAAGTTTTTTGAGTTCGAAAAAAACGGAATATATGTGATAGTGCCTACCGTCTTCTATCTACATACCAAATTTCAGATCGATACCTCGTTTTTTGGCCAAGTTATAGCGAAAAAAACTGTTCAAAAATGATGACGTCAAATTTTCAAACTCAATTTTTGGCCATTCTAGAACTCGTAGAGCAAAACGAAGACCACCATTAGACTCCCCGTGACAAGCTGCATCGAATAGATACCCATTTTATGCAAAAATATCAACTTTGAAATTTGACCTAATTTGACCTGACCTTGACCTGACCTTCACAAAAACGTGACCTAGGCTGGCCCCAAAGGCTGCCTAACCCACATAATCGCATTTGTCATGTAAAATGGACCATAAAACATGTATCACACGACACATTCATATTGTGACCCCCGGTGACCTGACCTCGCTGTGACCTGACCTGGTATCAGTGACCTCAGATAGCAAAGTATGTGTTTGACGAACAATGTACCATCGATGGTTTTCAATAAATTACCAATTTACTCGCTTTCACAGCACATTTCTTGAATTGCCTGTGAACGGTGAAAATCTGACCTTTGACCTGACCTGTGACGTCATCGGTTTGACCTAGGTCAATGAAATTTGGTCACAAGGTAGTTCCCGGGTGGGGCTATCGAACGCCGTTTGAATTGTGAAAATCGGCCGGTAACTTTCCGAGATCTTAGGGGGGGCCGAAACGGCCCCCCCCCCCCCTACGGGTGGTAGGGTCCGCCGGTAGCCCTACGGGGCGCGGGTTAAGCATTTAAAGCGATTAGACCTGCCAAAATATTCAGACTTAAAAGGCATGTACATATATCACCGCAGATGCTTCATTATTATACAAGTAGATGTTGAAGACAAGAATGTTGGGTGTCCAAGCTCTGAATTTTACCCCGAATATCAGATTATCTATTGCTGTGTTGTAGACATTGAGTGTTGGTGTAATACAGGTAATTGAAGTTTGCATGTGTGTTTTTTAATTGATACCATTATTGCCGGTCATTTTCTATCATTCGTTAGATATTCGCGTACCTATAGTTTTCCATCTTGTTATTAGTAAAGTAAGATTCCCTTGCAAAAATAAATATTATGTCACACAACATGAGTATCTTCTCACACCGCTTTCATAACATGGCTCAACTATAACCCTCGCCCTGGCAGGGCATTTTTCATAACACGGCCTGGCAGGGGGGGGGGGGCGATGCGACCCCCTCGCGATTGGCTCCTATGGCACCTAGAAACACCAAATTTCTTAGGTAGGTGGGCCCTACGTCGCTAGCTTACACGGTTCATGGGTTACTCAAGAAAACAGAGGGGATGTTGAATTCGATCCCCCAGGTGGGCGCTTGCCGCTTACGCTAGATCAAAACGAGCTCGTAGCATGTATGCGTAACATATGCAAATCCTAGCGGAGATAGTCTGCGGTTCGTGGAAGGGCTGTGGGGTACTCAGCAGTTATCTCGCTACCTAATCAATAGTCAGTTACATACGCAATAATTGGCAGGAAGCAAAACGAGAAAAGTAATTCACTTTGGCGTAGCTTTGCGCTGTGATACAAATTAACTGACACTATTGGTTGAGCACGTCCTCACCGAGACTACCCTAGTATTTGCATAAATTGATTACCCCCGAGTGGCCAGTTCATTAATTGTAGAAGTGGTGTGTATAATTGTCTTGTAGAAGGGTATCTATCCTGTTCCTTTGCTGCACGCTGCATATTACTCCAAACCCCCATACACCGCTGTCAAAGTTTATTGTATCAGCCGATTCAAGTCGTTTCAGTCAATCATAATCACACTACACTGTGGTTATGCGCTAAAATCAATTATTGTACACGTGCACTATGTTGATGACCTGCTTCTGGCTACACCTCCAGGGGGATGATAATACCCCTCTCCACCTCCTCATTCGCAGGACAGTATGTACAGAGTCTCTTCGTTGGGGATTTCACCGCATCACACCACCAGTTTAGGAAGGAAGGGCTTCTTCGTGGGCTTCAACGTCGGCTTGGGCACCTTCGGCAGCTTCGGCTTACCGATTGGTAGCTTGATATTGGGCCCAGGACACTTGGTACCGTTCTGTCGATAAAGGGAAGATGGGTGTTCAGTTAAAACTCCATCAAGTGAGGTATGTGACAGAATTGCACTCGAAGGTACTGGGGAAATTAGTGTGAGAGGCAATGAGCGTGTTTGCAGTCTCCTCGGACAAAGAACATTCTACGCAAAATATATACACTGCGTTCGATGAGGCACACAGTACGACGGCGTGGTCGGCCATTTTGTGCGCCACTTGCGCATTGTGAATGTTCATCACTTTCGAATCCATCCCATTTGCTCGTTTTTTTTTATAGAAACGTGAGCAAAATTGCCAGTTCTAATGTTTTCATGGAAACCACGTACACACATGTAAGCAACTACTGTATACAGCTGCCGCGCCGCTTTCGAAGTGTGCGCCATTATTGTCTCTTTTCCGACCTTAGTACGCTCAAAAGATTCCACGCGGACGACAAAACTTCTACGCGACGTCGCGTAGAATCTTCGCCGTCCGTGCGACATCGAACGACGACGACGAAGAATCTTTGTCGTCCGGGAGACATCGAACACAGGCAAAATCTCCGGAGCTCGAGCACGGTTTGTTCAAGAGACGTCGCAGTGCGGAGCAGGTCGCTGAAGCGTTTAGTGTAAGATTATTCATATTTTTTTTTACAAATGCAACATCAAACACCAAGCTAGCTTACTCATCTAGCTTCATTTTTTTCCTTTACCTAGCTTCACACTTCAGTGTCCTAGAGTTCACAGCTTACCTTTCCGCAGTTGATTTGTGTTAGCACATCAGCTTTGATTCCATCACCTGAAATAAATGTTCAATTCAGTTATGCCGTATTAGCACCAGTTTTGTGACGTTCAAATTAGGACGTATGGTAAAGAAGTAAAAGTCACAGAGGGTTTCCTAATCACTACTAAGTCATAACGTGCATACTGCGTCATCAACGTGCTGCACAGCGCATAGGGAATAAATGGTAACATTTCATGGAACTGCGGTGAATGAACAATCCGCTGCCTCTAACAGCCCAAGAAGTTGATACAGAATGGCAGTTCAGGTATCCCTCCCTCTCGTTCAAATGCATTTAGGTATAGGTAGATCTTATGGTATCCGTAGGTATGTGTGTATTGTTCTGGCAGCAGCTTTCATCAGCTAATGTCTTACTCTTAGGCTTAGCGGATCAGACTTTGCTTTGGGCATTGTCTGTAAACCGTCCCAATAAATTCCAAATATATTTGTTTGCTTTTATTTTGTTGCATACTGCACAGTTTCATATAATCTAAGTTTCTGTGGATATCAGTATTGATGTTGATAAATTAAAATTGGTATCCGGATCACTCTCTCTCTCTCTCTCTCTCTCTCTCTCTCTCTCTCTCTCTCTCTCTCTCTCTCTCTCTCTCTCTCTCTCTCTCTCTCTCTCTCTCTCTCTCTCTCTCTCTCTCTCTCTCTCTCTCTCTCTCTCTCTCTCTCTCTCTCTCTCTCTCTCGCTCTCGCTCTCTCTCTCTCTCTCTCTCTCTCTCTCTCTCTCTCTCTCTCTCTCTCTCTCTCTCTCTCTCTCTCTCTCTCACTCTCTCACACAATCCAGGTCTCCCCGTGCTGACCGTTTCGATGGTGCAGTCCAAAGTTGTTGCTAATTTATTCCTCAGAGCTCGTAAGATCGCATCAGTGTTCGATATGCATCTACGCTTTCATCAACAAACGCATCGTTATCGTTGAGCCGGTTGTTTTGAATCGAATAGATTGAGCCGTATAATTTATTACTTTCTGAATAATTTCAGCTTGAGTTTTGCGACATTGCCTCGGAGTTTTTTGATGTTCAAGCGATTCAATGCGAGAACTGAAGAACAACGATACAATTACTATCATCTAGGACTCTAGCATATAAATAAATGTTGAAAGTTTCTGCAATATAACGAACTTTTTGAAGAAGGCTCGCATTTTGATAATGGACTCATAAATAAAAATTCATAACTATAGTTTTTATACTTTTCATAAATTCATAATTTGATAACTTGATAATTCATGTAAAATTCGACAGTACTGGTATACCACTCACTGGCAGTGTTGGTGACGTTGACGCCATCCGAAGTTACCGTCCCTGATCCGGCGTGGGTGGTCTTCTGCTGTTTGCTGGCAATGCCTGATGCCTGGGCCTGGGGGGGGGGGGGAAAGAAGCGGGTCTGATGTGCACCTCAACTTTTGAAAATAACGGCAGTGTCCTGCCTGTTTGGTTCTATTTCGTTTCCAACTATTACCTTTTCCCCTGTTTGTTTTATTTTTGGTTGACACTTTTATTGCGCCAGGCGCACAATCTTGATAGTTCCCTGCAGAAAACAAAACTACTTACATGACAACCCCCACACTCTTAATCTGTGAAGTGATCACTGAATACTAATATACCATGCTTACAACTGAATTGATGGCCTATGATGGGGCTGACTTGTTACCGGTATCTACCATCTGTGATCTACCTGGTATCTACCGGCATCTACCGGCTGTGACTGGTTGAATTATGTATTTGCTTACCACTGAAGCGATGGCCTTGGATGGGGCCTGCTTGTCACCGGTATCTACCAAAGCTCCCGTGTGTGACTGGCTGAGGCCAATGGCGATCTGTAAACACATATAGATAACCCATCAGGTGAGGTATTGACGAAGTGACATTTCTAATCTTCCTCAGGTAAATGGTTGTACCTAATTCGTATTCGTTTCGGGCTACACTGAGGCTACACCGGGTTTTTTTAAACAATTGTTTTACCTCAATGTAGCCTGAAACGAATGCGAATTATAATCAGATGAGATCAATTCTCTATGATCGTTGAAATCAGTGGCGGCGGAAGCGGGGGGGCAGCGGGGGCACGGCGCCCCCCCATCTTCCAGGGTGGGGGGGGCAAACATATCTTTTTGCCCCCCCCCCAAAATTGTTATCGACGAAGTACCACAATACTTCCATACTACCTACGTCAGGAACATATGCCAGTTTGGCTGAGTACCTTTTTATTAAGTTGATATAGCGAGTAACTTGGATTGATAATAGCCGTTTTCACGACGGGCTATCCGGCGAGCTAGTCCGTGACGGACTATTTCCACCAAACGCCCTCCACACATAATGCTCAGAAATCAAGCAGAGCTATCTACGAGCTACCGGTAACCGAAGTCTGGAAGAGTAGGACGGAACGCGAGTAACCCGGCACGGACGTCACGAAAGTGCGTCTGAGCGTGCCACAGGCCTTTCCCCGCGACTCTGCCAGACGCCAGCCGGCATAGGCGCGTGAGCCGGGGGGCAGCATGGGGGCAGCCTGCCCCCACAACTCTGGGGCCGTGGGGGTCTCTGCCCCCGCAAAGTTTCAAAGGGCCAGGAACCGTCGGGGCAGCTTGTCCTCCCCATATTAGCGGCCGAGGGCCTCAAAGAAAAGCTGAATGGAAGACAATACCTATTTAAGTAAAAAAATCCCCCTCTGTACGGGGACCCGCAGTTGCTATTGTACACGAACCCCAACTCTAGCCGTCTGTCCTGTCCAGTAACAACCGATAACATTGATATCGACTGCCGGTCCCTGCACAAGAGCAGCTGAGGTTTTCTGTGCGTGCCCTCTGACAGCTTATCGTTGTTCCCTGTGAGGGTGCTGGGACAATTTACTCAGGGTCGCTGTACAGTAGCAACTGCGGGTCCCCGTACCTGACTTGACAGCTCATGTGTGGAAGCTTTAAACGTTTATTCCAGGTTACCAAAAAGGTAGTTTCTTGACTCAGATGAGACTAATTATCTCACTTATTTGCAAATGTTTTATTTTTTATTTTTGTTGTAAAGGCCAAGAGGTGAAAAATAAGTGGCCTAAAACCGGTGAGAAAACTAGATTTGGGGGTACCCTAGGTTCCGGGAAGGATCAGGTGTGCCCCCCCATCCCAAAATACCTTCCGCCGCCACTGGTTGAAATGCGTTATGCATCAGGTGAAATCAGTTTTCAATGATTGCTGGTTGTGCATTATGACTAGACAGACGACATCTGATAAAAATACATAACACAGGGTAGAAAGAAAGCAAAAGAAAACTTCAATCACTAGTGTACACGTACTTTTGCAGAAAGAAATCATCAAATAATACTCGCTGTAGTAATTGCACTGAAACATTATATCGACGTTCACGAGGTCATGCCCCCAGGAGATGCCACCGAACGAAATGATTTATTATTGGCAAGGATTTATTAAACATCTTTTATTTCATATTATCTTCGCAGCCGGGAATTTCTCTTATACAGGGCTGACTGAACATTTCCCAATTACTGCCAGCTCTTTTGACAAGGAAGAGGCTGCCGGAGGTCATCTTTTAATTCTTTGATCAATTGATCTTCCACACCGAATGTGGAGGTATTATACGTCAACCATGCCACAGCGGCGGTACCAATTTGTTAAGGTGAAGGCTTTCGTGACGTACAGACTGGGGTGGCTATTCCGTTTCTTGGATGAAATACCTATACCTATCAGCAGAGCATTTTCAGCACACTTGACCATTGTTCTATGGACAGTTAGATTCACCTTAGCAATACACGAGCCTAAAACATACACACTTAAAGAAAAGACACTTCAAAGAAAAGAGTTTACAATTCCAACACCGCATGATGATATTGCATCTGACACTCATTTATTAGGTCATGTGTGACGTAATACTGAGTATACTTACATCATCGATTCCAACAACAGTCGTTAACGATTTGGCAGTCAGGTCATCCTTTCCAGCAACCTGGCGAAAAAAAAAAACAAAAGGCAAATTATTACGATCCTGAGCCGCTGCGGAGCATCACAAGGCGCCTTCGCAAAAATGATGCGATTGGAAACACGTGACAAGTAGGTAGCAGTAAAGGATCCGGCAGTGAGTAAGCACGAATAATGTTACACGAATAATGTAGGTATGTATCTAAATATCGTTAGCATGCTTTTATTCTGAATACTGTTTCGGAGAAGTGGTATCAAGAGTCCTTTGTACTTTTCAGCGCAATTTTATTAGTACTTTTCCTACAGCCATAATAGCTAGGCACGCTCGGATATTGGTATGTCTTCTCATGTCATTTCGAGAATATCAGAATAAAAGGTTCTAACAACGTCATAACATTTATCAACAGGTCTATGCAAGTCTTCATTCTCAGAACAAACACAATAGTGCTTTATAAAACGTAAAAATAATTTTCTTTTGTTCTTCGGCAGAAACGTTAGTCGTGGGCACGTACACGACCAATAGAATGATTACTTACTATTCTATCTAAATGTCGAGGGAAGGCATGCAATATTTGCCATTGTTCTCGACCAGCCGAATTAATAAGGTTTTCGCATGGTGCTACGTGTCCGGTTCAGGATATCGCAAAATTATTTTATTGTAGCCGCCATGTACGTCACAGGATCAATGGCCGCTTTCCGGAGCAACATTCATTTACCTACGTGCGCATTGATTGTCTAATGTCTGCTACACCGTAAACCGCACTTGCTTCCAGTAGGATGCACGAGCATACCTACCCAAATGTTATTCATACGCGACTGGTTCTCAGAAAACTCCGCTAATCTAAGGAAAGACTACGCTCGCTTCGTTCGCTCCGTAATTACAAATAACATTACCTTTACGATTAGTAAACGTTGTCCTGAGTATCGCACACACGTGATAGCATACTCGTCATTGTTATTACATTAGGTATGTTCGGTTTGCTAAAAAATCCAATAACATCACCCAACGCCTACCTGTTTCTCAGGATACACCCAAATAGCATTCCGTCCCACCTATATTATTTGTGTACAAAAATGCACGCCATGTCGCATGTAAGAACACGTGCTCCAAGATCCTGTCCGAAGTTAGACCTTCTAACGCACCCACTAACATTTGTTGATGCTTGATACTATGCGTAAATGGGGTGCACACATCCTTGCTTCACTCTAATTGGCCGTCGTCGGCACCATTCGGCGTTTTTTTTTTTGGGGGGGGGGGGAACTGGTTATTGAATGGAGGTGGGGGTTACTTCAGTGTATGCCAGGACTCAGGAGTTGAGTTTGAAGACATTCAGGTACATCGACATGGATCTTTTAGAGCAACGACAGTACAAAGGCCAGCCAGGTAGAAATTTCCGATAAAAATAAGACAAGATAAGACAAGGTAAGACGAAGCAACTGATTTGCCGGCCGATTGACTGTTATGACAACAAGGCGAAATACTAAAACAATTAACCCGCGCCCGGCTGGGGGTCCTGGATTTCCACGCCCTGCTGGGGGGGGGGGGGTGTTTGAACACCCCCCCCCCCTTGTAACTCGGCTCCTGGGCCACGTAGCGATACGCGGAAGGCGGTGTTCGAAAGAACGTCAATAATAATGACGAAATCACTTCAGTCAATTTTTTGGTCAGGTCAAAGGTCAGGTCACCAGAGGTCATTGAAGGCAAAATTTCGCCGATTTCCAGGTCGAATGTCGAAAATTTCCAAGAAGCCAACGCATAACTCGGGAACCAATAGAGCTACAGCGCCGCGGAAAAGCGCATTCGATAGCCCTAATAGCGCCCTTTCTGAGTAAATCTCTCAGATTTGACCTAACGTCAACGGTTTTGCCTGCAGGGGGCAAAAACTGCAAAAATAGCCGATTTTTTCGGAAACAGCGTTTCTGCAATAACTTTTGACCCAAGCCCTGTACGAGCTTACTTTTACCGGCATCGTGTTCCTCTCGTCAAGACGCATCGAATGAACTATACCTTGACCTTGAAAGGTCAACTTGAAAATTTGACCTCAGGTCAAGGTCATGACCTGACCGGAAAGGGTCATGTTGCATATCAGTCGATCCGTATCGTCAAGCTGAACACATCTAAGGCGTTTTCATCGCTCTAGCATGCCTCTTTCAAAAGTTATTTGCAAAAAACTGTTAGATACCATTCGTGACCTAAGATGACCTCAGGGCATAAACAAGGGTCACGGACACCATTTTCATGTTCAGTGTGTCTAAACCACTTGTAATTCGGTGTTTGGGAGTGTTTATGACGTCTTTCGTCCAAAAGAGGCGCATTTCAATTATCTCCCATTGACTTATAATGGGGAGGTCGCAAAATTGACCTGACCTTAGGTCATCGATATCAAAATTATGAGATATACATTTTGTACGTACATGCTATTGCTCTTTGCAATCGCTGAAAGTTTCAAAGCGATCGGTTACTCGGTGTAGCTATGACCGACATAGAAACTTTTTATGATGTGAGGTCACTTCAAGTGACCTGGTGACCTGACCTTGAATGACCTTGGTCTGAAATTTTCACAACATGTGTAGAATTGATGTATGATAAGGTGTACCAAAAACGGTGGCGCTCGGCGCCGCCGTTTTTTGAGATATTCGCGAAAAACTACAAGGGGGGGGGGGTGTTCAAACACACCACCCCCAGCAGGGCGCGGGTTAAACATGGTCTTCTTTCTTACTACTGATGATCGTTTTCGGCTCAATATGATTTGTGACGGTTGAACCCTTGTACTCGGACACTGGTTTATTCACGGCGATATAGACACGACTAGCCTGCTCACCCCACACAGCAGGCTGCATCGCGCGGGACGACCCTGACCTCGGGGCAGGTCGGGCAGCGGCGGCGCCAGGCGCCAGACACGGCGGTGCCCGGTAACCCGCAGAGGCGGTCATAGTAGGGGTACACAAACACACACAAGAACACAAAAACATGACACGCTGCGCAGTCCTGGTAAATACCAAATGCTAACCAAACCTCAACACAAGGAAAACTTTGTTATGGTATTATACCAAAACGCTGAAACCTTTTGGCTAAATCCTAAATACTGGAAGGCAAGGAAAACTTAGGTATGGTATTATGCCAAAAGTTCAATCCGATTACCTTTCTAAATTTAATCAAAAGCGGATCTCCCGCCTCAGGACCTGAACGTCATCAGCTGTAGTATAGGATCCCATTCCCCACGGAGTTCTAAAGCCTGATTCCCACTATCTCACCTTGGTGGTGGTGTCACCGACAACCTCCGCCAGGAACGGGCCGCATCCACCCTGAGCCGCCGTCTTGGCGTCGGCTCGTCGCTTCACGTTATCCTCCTTGATACCGATTCCGACCCCGGTGCCGACGGCTGGAGGCAGAGTTATAGAGTTAGGATAATAGTGAGTTACATAGCCTAGTGCCTACGGCTAGAGGCAGAGTTATAGAGTTAGGATAATAGTGAGTTACATAGCCTAGTGCCTACGGCTAGAGGCAGAGTTATAGAGTTAGGATAATAGTGAGTTACATAGCCTAGTGCCGACGGCTAGAGGCAGAGTTATAGAGTTAGGATAATAGTGAGTTACATAGCCTAGTGCCGACGGCTAGAGGCAGAGTTATAGAGTTAGGATAATAGTGAGTTACATAGCCTAGTGCCTACGGCTAGTAAACAGAGTTATGGAGTTATGATAATGAATACTGAGTGAGTTAGATCACCACTCCGATGCTAACATCTGACTTACAGTCACACATTGAGCTACATTACATTACATGATGATGATTGACATGATGAGATTAGCCCTCGCACGACCAGGCCTTTTCTCATAACACGAACGACCAGGGGGGGGGGGGGGTTATTACGACCCCCCCTGGCGTTTCGAAACGGAAGGTCGTAGAGCTTAGCGGAAAAAAACAACGGATTGCTCTCGACGAGATCTCGCGATTGGTGGTATATTTTTTGGTCCTAGGTCAACATTTGACCTACTTTTGACCGGTCAAAGGTCAAATTTTCCGAAAAAATCAAACTTTTTCAACTTTCCGCGGTGATTGCGGCAAAACGGTGGGAGATATCGACTTGAAACCTTCACTATCGTGTTCCTTGATCAATTTTCTATCGTTTGGTATGTATTTCGTTTCCCTAGCTCTAAAAATGGCGCGTTGGGAGCGCCGGAAGTCGGCAAGGTCACAGTCGGCGGCAGAAATTCGAAAAATCAAAATTTAAATTTTTGTAATCTGATTGTATTTTTGGATTTGGGAGGTCCATTTCCTCCCTATAGAAGCTAATATTGCTGCATATTCCCATTGAGGTGACAAGAATTAGCAAAATAGTGGTTCGGGCGCTTTTCAAAAATAGTACCGGACGCTGTTCCTCTTGTGACGTCATAGCTCCGTGACCTGACCTGACCCGGTCAATTTTCTTGCACCACACGATAGCCAATGCTTGCCCCAACATGCATGGAAAGTTTCATCATGATCCATCAAACAATGTGGGTATCACCGGCAGAAAACCTAGGGATTCGGCGCACACATTTGGTAACTGTCGGCCGGAGGCTGTACCTCTTATGACGTCATAACTCCGTGACCTGACATGACCCGATCATTTTTTTCGGCAAAAGATGCGCAAAGGCTGCCCCAGAGGGTATTGAAAATTTCAGCCCGCTACGACAAGCCGTTTAGCGTGCACTTCGAAAAAACCTCAGGGGGGGGGGGTTGATACAACCCCCCCTAGGCGTTCTAGGGTTAACGGGCTTTTATGAGCAGCTAAGCTAAAGAGACTGAAACCTGACATATAACTTAACAAAACTCCTCACGCGACAGCACCAACCGAGTCTTTCTTGTGTCTAACCAGAAGCGCGTGGGGCAGCTCACTCACCAATGGCCGGGCCACAGGGGGTGTGTGTCTAATCAGGAGCGCGTGGGGCGGCTCACTCACCAATGGCCGGGCCACAGGGGGTGTGTGTCTAATCAGGAGCGCGTGGGGCAGCTCACTCACCAATGGCCGGGCCACAGGGGGTGTGTGTCTAATCAGGAGCGCGTGGGGCGGCTCACTCACCAATGGCCGGGCCACAGGGGGTGTGTGTCTAATCAGGAGCGCGTGGGGCGCTCACTCACCGATGGCCGGACCACAGGGGGTGTCCACTGCCGCCGCGTCGGCTCCCGTTCCTGTGTTGATCTCCACTGTCGTTACCGACGGGACGCGAACCGTCGGTATCGTCGGCAGCGTGGGTTTAGGAGTCGTGGTCGACGTTGTGGTGGTCGTGGTGGTAGTGGTGGTGGTTTCCAGCTCCTCAGGGAAGGATGGTAAGAGCGACAGGTCGATGCCGTGCGGTCGGCCTGAAAAAGAAAGGTGTTTTTTATTGTATGTACGTATGTATTGACATCAAAAGCCTTCCACATACTAGTATGGTGCGGTGATTACGGCTTAGGTGACTTGGTAGTAGAATAAAGAAATGAGCAGTTGAGGTTATATATCCGCTCCTCTCGTCCCTCCACTAATACTACTACATTACAATCCGCTAGAAAGCATCGTTTGAAGATGATCGACGGTTTGAAGTGGTTAGTTAGATCCTCATAAATAAAACAAAATAAAAAGTTTATTTTAGCCCACCTGGTGGTACAGTTGGTTGGATGTTTGGGGCTCGGGGTGACCTGGGTACGTTTTCCGACCCCCTGCCACCACCCATCAAACACGTGCCCAGGGGAAGGTAGGCTCTCACAATTGCCGAAAATTTGTGAAGGAGGATGGCCAGTTGAAGGCCGTAGCGGCGGAACACCTTCAATCAAGGGGGGGGGGGGACACTGCCGACTTTTGCTTCCATGCAACGCCCATTAGGGCTAAAGTTAAAATGCCAAAATCAAAGGGGGGCACGGTGCCCAGGTGCCCTCCCCGTTCCGCCGCCTATGCTGAAGGGGTATGTGACAAAAAATGTACTTTGTTATATTATGTTTCATGGATTGCGATTTCAAACCTCATTGAAATACTGTCTATGAATTTCTTCCAGTTCTAGCTATAGAGCATTTAACGAGGACAGCCTCAAACAAGTCGGACCAACAACACACTTCTTTTGTTGACAACTGGCTAACAAATAATGCCGGAAAGTCGCTATAGCGAATTTTATTAATGTTCTGACATGCCTGATGCACATCCTTAGACAGTTGACAGCGTTCACTATTTACCCTGAGTGCCATCTTTTCCATTCATAGATCGATATACAACTATATGTGTTGGCTCAGGCTTTCCTGAGATGACTCTTTTCTGAGCACACTTTTAGGCGTTCATTCACTCAGACAGCCATTCAGACACTCAGACACGGTGGTATACGGTTCGCTAGCTAAGTGACTCTGTCAAAGGGATTGGTTATGTAACCTGACGAGCAACTTAAATAGCAGCTGAACTACACGATATATATATCATGTTTCATTAGGTCGAAGAAGTAAACCGACTTGTTTCAGAGGAACTTCTACCGCTTTACATGTCTGATTTTTGGCGTTGTGGTGTAGACAAGTGAGCTAATTTGAATTTTCGCTAATTGCAATTTTCGTTAACTTTTTCATACCTAAGCTTACACGTTAACATTTCGCATTTGCCTTGCTGTGGCGCTATATATACAAAGCTTCATGATGCTTGTTTAGCCTCTCCTGTGTGAGTCAGCAAAAACTAAAACGATAAGTAATAGTCGCGGACTTTCCTCAAGCTTTGTCCATATGATGAATGGCCTATTGTGCCTGAAGGTACTGGCTTTCATGTAGTTATCCCTGTAATAATTTCCGGCGTGATGGACGCTGACTAAATAACAGGTTTTGTTGTCTTGTTTCCAAGATATGTCTGTATGCCTTCTCTACACATCAGCGATTCACTCAAAACCATCTGAATATTCCGCGAATAAAAGCCCTGATTGTCTCCTTCGTTGAGAAACTCCACGACTGAGATGTGATATAAACAATAACATTAGCGGCATCACACGACAGCATTGAGCTTGATTTGAATGTAGCAAGATTGTATGTATGTATGTATGTATGTATGTATGTATTGACGATCAAGAGCAATCCACAATCGGCGTGGCGATTACACTCCGCTATCCAATTGTATCTATGTATTGTAATGTCACGCTATCCAAAATATCGAATGCTCGATTTGAATTCTTACCAACACTGTATACATACCTATCAGATTTGATCGCAACGTGAGGGGAACTATGGCAAATTACCTACTGATGTTCTTATTGATTGTCTAACAGCAGCCATTGTTTCTTATCGGCAAATGCCACTATAAACACATTATGGTGCTGATCGCAAACCGCAGTGTAAATTTGCGGCCTTTGTGTTACGGAATGAGCTACCACCACCAACGCCTATAATAAAGACAGTGCATACCAAAAATCATCGAGTTACTTTCTCGCCACCTGCTGCTGCTGTTCCTGCTGCTGATGATGTTAACATGATGATGTCTCGGATGCTCACGCTGCTTTCCTCACCTGATGCCATTACGACACAGACGGCCATCAAAGACAGCGGCAGCAGCCCGCTTCTCCCGGAGATGTGAGCGGTCATATCGGCTGACGGTGAGTTCCGATGAGTTCCGGTGAGTTCTGGTGAGTTCTGGTGAGTTCTGGTGAGTTGCGGCAAGTCCTGGTGAGAGGGAGAGGGAGGCAGCGCGAGCGCTGTGGCCGCACCGAAAGACGAAGAGCCTCTGGTCGCCGTCACAGTCGCCGGTCGCTTCACAACCCGGACGCGGTGCAAAGGTCAGACTCGGGTCAACCGAAAAGGTCACCCAGCGTCCGCTACCGCCCGCGCCACCGCGACGGCCGCGGTTGTCACATGGGTTGGTTCGAAAGCTGAATTCTGGCAGGTTTGTGTGCTGTACATCGGTGGTTCTGCTGTAATGGCCGTTTTCACGACGGAACTTTCGCAGAGGAACTTATTTGATACCTAAAAAGTACCTACCCTCAGAGGCCTTAACATCCCTCAAACTGAAATATTTTATGTTCAAAATAATTTTAGAAGTTTAAATCCGGGCATTTTTTGCCCTCAAATCACTTATTTATTTACAAACACAGCAATTTTTGGTTCTAGTAGCCCACCTTTCGACTATGAGGTATTAAATCAGCGTGGCAACTTGCTCCCTCTTTGCTCCCTCGGGTATCTAATTCCGGAATTCTTAAAAACAAGGAAAGTATATATCGAGTTCTCTTTTATACCTATTCAGTTATGTTTTAATGGTGATTAAAATATGATAAATTTTTTAATTACATTTCATATAAGAAAACACGCAAAACAATGAAACAAAAATAACTACGGCAGATAATTACCTTCAGGTATCGAATTCCGACCAATCAGCACCTCAGTAGGATATGACGTCATACAAGAATGGTGGTGAAGGCCGTTTGCAGTCCCGGCCGGTAGGTCACGTGACCGCCGGGCGCCTCGGGTCACGCGGCGGTCGGGAGTCGGACGCGGGGCGTGGTCGCGGGCGGACGCGCGGGGCATCATGCTTTGCTTTGCTTGCTTTGTCAACTTCATATAACTTACTATCGCATTCGTGTGAAAGCCAAACACTGCTCAGTGCCCTTAGAAATTGAGTTTTGGAAAGCTCAAGTCCTTATAGCTCCTCAGGTCGGCAACAGTTGAAGCCTCATCTGAACCCATGTGAAAAAAACGAGGGTAAGGAACCTTGTGTTGCTTTTTCTTTTACCGTCATAATTATCTCAAACCATCACAATTTTGAGTTGCCACATTGTCTGCTTCACTACATTCGTGTAAAACTTGGGTGAAGGCTGGTGGCTCAAAGAAAGGTGAAGATATTTCTTTAAGTGCGTAATCCGTGAAATATCCCGGCTTTACAAATCTACACTTTTCATTTTCTCCACGATACATTTTTTAAAATTTTCTTTTTTTTAAATTTAATCTACATTTGTTAAAATCGGGGCTTTGGTTTTGTGTAAACTAGATCATAAAGTTTACTATAGTTTTGTGTAACCTGATGGCTGAAGAAAATAGTAATTTTGCTAAAATGATGTGCGGAAATGTGTTGCTTTCCAAATCAAATTACGCATACCTATATTTCATTCAAAATTAGGAGGCATTATTACTGTTTTTTCTTGTAACATGAACTGAGTTTGGGTACGGTGCTCCGGAAACGTTGTGGAACTTTAAGCTAGCTATGGCAGTTTCCATAAAAATTGTTTAGATAGTTGACATGGCTTGTTGTTTTGCTGTTTCTAAAAAGTGAAAAAATATTTTCCTGCATTAAGCAGACAAGGCATGTTATTCTCAATAAGCTATCGAATGTGTGTGCGTGTGTGTGTGTGTGTGTGTTTTTTTTAAAGCTGTCAATTGTAACTTCAGTTACTTCACTTTAGAACATATTGCCCAGAATGCGTCACTGATCATGAGCTGGTATATCAATCATATCATGTGTAGCAAATACATAAATGAGAATAGTGTGTCATGAATTTTTGTGCATGCTTCTGGATCATCTGTAATTACATCAAAGGCTCTGCTCAAGAGTGTCCTGCCGACCAGCTTATGCCCAACCCTTTCTGTCCGCAGAACGTCGCCTGCGACTCCCGCACGCCGTTTGCCCCGGCCGTCCGTACTGGTCTTCGCGCTGCGAGCCGCGCTGGAGTTCGCGGCGGCGTCGTGGAGCTTCCATCGGGACGGCGTGTGATGCCCGCGTCGAGCTTATAAGCCGTGAGCTTCGATTGGCGGCTCACGCGGTCACCAGCTGTATGTACAGCCTCGGCCCCGACGACCCCGCTAATGGCCGAGACCGGCATACCCCCGGCATGGGTCCGCTGTCCGGCGCAGCGCTGGCCGCCCGCATGCTATGCTACTTTTGGCTGTATCGCTGCCCAGCGGGAGCGCGCTCCACGCTGCGGAAGAGGTACACGTTGCGACCCGACTGAGGACTGCAACCGGATGGTGACACGTCGGCCTCTGCGCCCTGGCCGGGGCAGGCGTGACCGACGTCACAGTGGAGGAACGCCCAAACAAGACCAACCCACCGTCGGAGCAGCATGGAAATATCATGTTCTGCCTGGACGTCGGACCCGGCGGCCGCAGTGCACCTGCACACGTGCGGAGAGGGGCGCTGGAGGCTACTCTGGAGCTTCTGCCATTCCGCGGCGCGACTGCTGGCAAAACGGCGGCGATTGAGGCGGTTGGGAACAGCTGCAGCAATGGTGATGGCGGTGATGGCGACATGGCGGTTTGGGACTTCATCTCAGCGCGGCCGCCGCCCAGGCGCCGCTGCGCCCGGCTGCTCAGCCACCTACCGGATGGCGGGGTGGCCCTTACGGCCCTCACGCCCGTTCAGTCTGCGGCCACGTTGTGGGGTGGCGGTCGCGGGGTTAGCGGCGTTGGACTTCGTCCTTTATCCAGACTGCACCGTACCATCTGAACGGATGGATCTGCCAAGAAAGATGACATCCAAGGCGGCTATGAGGCGATCACAAAGCTTCACCAAGAGCTTCTCCTTCATGGGGCCGGCCGGCCGTTAAGTCGCAACACCGGCTGCCGAGTTCCAACGGCTGCGTGCGCTGGCGCCGACGCGTTGTGGGCCGCGCTGCTGACGCCCAAGCTGCGATATCAACCATCTATGAATAAGTGGCAGCGGTGGCGGCTTGTCAGTTGTTAACGTGCCTTAACCCGCGCGGGGCTGGGGTCTCCAGCCGAACGCGCGGGGCTGGGGGGGGGGGGTAAATTTTACCCCCCCCTGTTATCTCCCGAACTAATGGTCCGATTTGGAAAATTCAAACGCCAATCGAAAGCTCTCATCACGAACTACTAAAAACATGTACTTAATTTAAAGTTTGAGGTCAAGGTCAAGGTCAGGTCAAGGGTACAAATTGCAAGTTTCTACAGTATCGGCCTTGCACCGTAGTTGCCGAAGAATGGAGTCATGGACTGAGACTGATCGCCCAAAACGTGTTCTTAGGCTACCAAGACAATATTCGTTGCATACAATATCATTCAGAGGTCAAGGTCAAGGTCAGGTCAGGTCAGGTCAGGTCACCAAAAAACAAAATATAGAAAAGGGCATGTGCGACACATGTTTTATGGGTCATTTTACTCATAGAATTCAATAGGCACACTCAATAAGTGATATGGACCACCTCTGGATGAATTTCAGGTCGAGGTCAGGTCAAGGTCAGGTCAAGTGAGGTCAAATTTTGAAGTTGGTTGTTAAGGCCTAAAAAGGTGTCCATCTGATGCAGTTTTTCACGGCGAATCGAATGGTGCTATTTTTGTTTCCGTACGAGGTCTAGAACTTCCAAAAAAGTCATTTTTCAAAAATTTTGTGTGTCGTGACGTCATAAAATTTTGAATAACTCCCACATTTTTGAACCGATTCTTCCAAAATTTGGTATGTAGGTGCACATAGACCACTTCTCTGACATATATTCCGGTTTTTTCGATAGACTCAAAATTTGGATTTTATAATGATTTTCCCAAAAAAATCAGTTTTTTGAAAAAATTTAGGCCAAAATCCAAATTTAAAAAAAAACCGAGATAGCCATTTGATAGACAAAGTAAAATTACGTATAACCTTTTTTGTTACGTCTTGATTCCTTTAAAAATGAAGATGTTAGCGGCGTTTGAACTTTTGCCGTTTTTGAGGCAAAAATGGCGAACATGACGTCACTAAAACGTCAATTTCTCAAAAATTGTCCGACGGATTTCGCTCAAATTTTCAGGGAACGTGTCAAATTGATGTAAGAAAAGGTACTGAAAGTTTGGCGGCGCTGCGCGCCGCCGTTTTTGAGATATCGCAAAAATTCGCGAGGGGGGGTAAAATTTACCCCCCCAGCCCCGCGCGGGTTAACAGACGTTGCGAATAGCCCGCGTTGGAATCGCATGGTTGGGAACACAACGCAAGTAAAAATGGGCTTCCTTGATGAACCTACTTTTTAAGCATTGTAGCCTTTGTAATTTTGGATGTTTTGCTGTAGATATTATTTTCTACATAGATACTATATAGGCACTCGCGTGTTTTAAATCGCGCAATGCAATTGAACCATGGTAAAGACAATGATAAATGAACTGAGAGCTGACATGCCCCATGCTTTGTGTGTGTATGTGTGTGTGTGTGTGTGTGTGTGTTTTTTTTTTTTTTTGGCGAGTCGATAAAAGTGGTTTTGGACACTGGATGAGTTTTTAGGGGTGTGGTGAGGGGGGATGTAATTCCACAGACCTTCTGTCAGATTCACTAATGCAGTAGGTCTGTGCGGTGTTTAGTTATCGGAGCATTCTTTGAAAGTCGTGAATATAGGGCCACCGAGTACCTAAAGCCGTGATTTTCCCCCACAAAAACTTCTTTTAAATAACCGGGGATAGGTACATGAGCAGAGTAAATGCTATTACGAACGCCTATCACAATGCTGAGCGAATAGGAAAATCCATAGATGGAGAATTGTGCCGCGTTACGGGTGCTCGGGCGCAGCCAATCCACCGTTACCCCAGCGGTGACCTTGACCCGCATCGTCTGTCTCGGCTCCAAAGCCAAACCGGCGTGGAATTGGGAGCGTTCGAGCACTCATGGTCCAGCGCAATTCTCCACCTAAATCCATTCCTGATACACATTTGCTTGCTCATAGTCATGTAACCCCGGTAAATTCACCCAACTTTCATATTGGTCGCTCCATAGACAGACGGCCACAGAGATCAACTTAAAAGGCCATTGTTGCATTCATTTAGTGGAGATCATTAAAGAGCCGTGACAGGCCAGAAGTCGCGTGACATCATACGTGTAACGACCAATGACGTCGGCCTGCAAAACCCAATGGAAGCGGCTAGCAGCGTGCAATAAAACAGGGCGCTGCTTTCTAAATGTCTGTCGTGCGCCATAAATGAATATATTCTTTGTAGCCTGGCAACTCAGTATCTTT